CATCATAGGAACATATAAGCCTCCATTGACAGGAGTGGTGGCTACACATGAGGTGCTTGGCCAGGAATCAAACTGTGTCTCCTGCATGAAAGGCAAGAATTCTACCACTGAACCATCTGTCTATGTTAATTCTAACGGAGTTAAATGACTTCTGAAAAGTATAATGAAATGAATAAATGTGAGGAATGTTATTATTATTCTTATCCTGTGGAAGCTGAATTTGTACAAACTACATTTCATGGCACAGTGATTAAGAGCTTAGCTGCTAACCAAAAGGTCGGTAGTTTAAATCCACCAGGTGCTCCTTGGATACCCTATAGGGCAGTTCTACTCTGTCCTATAGGGTCACTATGAGTCAGAATTGACTCAAGGGCAGTGGGTTTGGTTTTTTGGGAGCCCTAGGGGTGCAGTGATTAAGACCTTAGCTGCTAACCAAAAGGTCGGCAGTTTAAATCCACCAGGCACTCCTTGGAAACCCTATGGGGCAGTTCTACTCTGTCCTATAGGGTCACTATGAGTCAGAATTGACTCAAGGGCAGTGGGTTTGGTTTTTTGGGAGCCCTAGGGGTGCAGTGGTTAAGAGCTTGGCTGCTAACCAAAAGGTCAGCAGTTTGAATCCACCAGCCACTCAATGGAAACCCTATGGGGAAGTTCTACTCTGTCCTATAGGGTTGCTGAGTTGGGATCGACTTGACAGCAATGGTTTTTTTTTGTTTGTTTGTTTTCTTTTTTTGATATTTCATTCTGGAAACTAGGAGAAGAAATTAGGGCCATTTTTGTTTTGGTTGACCATAGAGAAACTTGGCATTTAGGTATTGTTTACTCCTGAATGAAAAGAACATTGGAAACTTCTCTTCCCTAATGCTATTATTTCATCAAGTCATACATAACTTTTTAATTGACTTCATGGTCTCCACAGAAAAAAATGGGCAAACACAAAGGAAGAGCAGAAATGCAAAAAAAGAAAACTAATGATTGTTTGAAACATTTCTTCCTACTAATATTCCCTTCTCTCTCTGCATGAGTTCTTAATTTTGGTAGAGCCTGTGCTTTTTTGAAAAGTTGATGAAATTTGTGAATCCTCCCTCCAGAAAATTGCACATATGTACTATTGGTCATGGTTCACTCCAGAGAACAGAATCCACTCAGGAATTGTAGTTTTTATCTTTCCACCTATTACAGTATGGGAAGATACACTGGAAGGAGGAAAAGAGAGGAAAAAAGCATAAAGAAAGCGTGGACAAAAATGTCTGCAGACATCTAAACCTACCCATGGGCTCCAGGCTCAAAACTCCATAGGAATAAAGAGCTTAAAACAGCAAACTCAGGGTGAGAAATAAGACGAGGGATGAAGCACTCTGAACTAAACACTAGTGAAAAACAGACTGTAGCTGTTCTCTTCTTTTCAATCTTTCCCACTTAAGAGCTACCCTGCAAAGGCTGAATATAAACCCAAAACGAGTTCTGGAAGTCAGGGGGTATAATTATCTGATTTGACCTTCAATTTTTTCATCTTCAAAACGGGTATAATAATAAATCCTATCTATCTACTTGATGGCATCGTGTGAAAATTGCAATAGATAGCACATGTGGAAGAGCTTGTAAACTCTCAAATGCTTACAAGTGATGGCTCTTATTATTATGTCTGAGTCATGACATAGATCATCTTTAAGGAACTGAAGTGGGTTGATAACCCACTTGAGAGGAAAGCTCTTACCTTCTTACAGGCTGTAATTAATAATAAAATAATTACTACATGCTCTAATTAACTATTAGAAGAAAAAAAAAAAAACCACCACTATAGAGTCAATTCTGACTCATGGCGATCCTAAAGGACAGTAGAATTGCCCAATAGGGTTTCCAAGGCTGTCATCTTTACAGAAGCAGACTGCCACTCTTTCTCCTGTGGAATGGCTGGTGGGTTCCAACCACCAACCTTTCTGTTAGCAGCCCAGCACTTACCCATTGCACCACCAGGGCTCCTTACTTAATTAATAGTAAAACAAAATTAGCTACTTCAACATAAGACCCCAAATATTATCTGATTAACCAAGTTGCATTTCCATTAACAGATATCCATTAAACACAGATAAATGTTATTATTAAATAAATATACATGGAAGGTCAAGTATCCAAGATTACTCAAAGTCAATAAGCCTAAAGAGCCGGAGTTCAGCTTTCTCCTAGAAACACACTCAACAAACTCAAGATATACCACTTGAACTCATCAGCCGCCTCCCTCCCCAGACTTTTTCCTTGCTCTTCCTTGTTCTCACCATTCATACCATTACTGTCTAGTTGGCTTTAATAATAGTCACTCCCACGTTCCCTTCCTCACAACTCCTACGTTCAGTAAGTAGCAAGGTCTGTTATTTCAGTCACCACTTCTTTCCTTTCAATCCACTGATAATCTTTTTTTTAGGTCCTTTTCATCTTATACAGAAACAATTGCAGAATTCTCCTGAATGCACATTCTTTTGTTACTGGGAGCAGGGTTCTCTACAGGTGGAAATTACAACAGTCTTTTTGGTTGTTTTGCTCAAATCCACTATACCAATTTTTATTCTGCACGATCTACCAATTACTGACAGAGGTAGGCTAAAATCTCCCACTATAATGGTGGATTTGTTCATTTCATCTTGTAATTACATCAGTTTTTGCTGTCTAAATTTAAACTGCCTTACTGGGTGACTGCGAGTTTAGTATTGTTAAATTGTTGTGTTTTCCTGTTGAATTATTCCTTTTATCAAAATGTAGTAATCCTCTTTAGCCTAACCTTTTTGCCTTAAGGCCCCTGTTACTTGATATTAATATAGTTGGACTAGCTTTCTTTTGGCTAGTATTTAACTGGTGTATCTTTTTCTATCCTTTCATTTTCCATCTTTTTACATCCTTGTACTTTAGATGTCCCTTGTAAATCACGTACAGCTGGCTATGTGTTTTCATTTTTGCCTTTTTACTGTAAAGAATTTTTAATCTATTCTGTTACTCTGTGAATAATGATTGGAAAATTTAATGTAATTGTATTGATTGTTCTTACTTCTGCCATCTTATTTTATGCTTTCTTTTTACCCTTTCTCTATGCTTTTTTTCTCCTTTGCTGCTTTCTATTGGTTTCATCAAGTTTTACTTATTCCTTTTCTTTCCTCTGCTTATTTGGAACCTACAAATTCTGTTTCTATTCTTTTAATAAGGAGCCCTGGTGGTGCAGTGGTTGAAGCGACTGACTGGTAACCGAAAGGTCAGTGGTTTGAAACCACCAGCGGTCCGAGGGAGAAAGACATGGAAGTCTGCTTCCATAGAGATTTACAGCCTTGGAAACTCTATGGGGTCACTATAAGTTGGAGTCAACTCGACAGCAGTGGGTTTTGGTTTTTTGGTTTTATTCCTTTAATGTTCAGTGTTTTAGTATTTTGACAAGTTGTCCCCATTGGTGGGTACACAAAAATAGGGTAGTTAGGTTGAGGTCATGGGAATGGTGTCTCGGCAAAGCATGAGGGAAGAAGTGATGCACTCCACTTCCATGCCTGGTCATAAGATGCCCTGTGTGATCCTCCACTCTCTTTTCCCCTTAGCACTGTGCATGGTGGTCATGTGCTAAAGGCAGTGGCATCACAAAATAGAAGACAGCTGGATTGCTGTGTCACCACTGCAAACCCATTGCTGTTCATTCGATTCTCACTCATAGCGACCCTATAGGACAGAGTAGAACTGCCCCAAAGGTTTCCAAGGCTGTAATCTTTATAAGGAGCTCTGGTGGTGCAGTGGTTAAGAGCTCAGCTGCTAACCAATAGGTCAGTAGTTCAAATACACCAGCTGCTCCTTGGAAACCCTATGGGGCAGTTCTACTCTGTCCTGTAGAGTCACTGTAAGGTCGCTATGAGTCAGAGCTGACTCTAGGGCAACAGGCTTGGTGTTTGTTCTTTTTTTTTTTTGGTTAATCTTTACAGAGGCAGATTGCCACATCTTTCTCTCGCAGAGCTGCTGGTGGGTTCGAACCACTGACCTTTTGGTTAGCCACCAAGCACTTAACCACTGTGCCACCAGGGCTCCTTCACCACTGCAAAGTCGCCTGAAATTTCGAAGTTTAATTTTTACCTCAGCATAGCTGAAAGCACATATAAGGTCCAAAGATAACATCTCTAACCTTAGAATAAGTCCAGACACACCCTTCCCATTTTTATAATTATTGTGCAGTAATTTAGTTTCATCTTGATTTTACAACGCCTCAAATTCATTGCCATTGTTGTTGTTTTCTTCAGCTAATGTTTATTTATATTTACCTGCATGCTCACAAATGTCTTTGCTTACCATTCTTTATCTTATTCTTTCCTTCTGTTTTCAATTTCCTTCTTCCCAAAGTACCTCCTATACTGAATTTTTCATCAAGAGTTTTGTTGATGGTAAACTAACTCAGTCTTTATTTACCTGAAAATTTCTTTATTTCACTTTACGTCTTGAAAGATAGTTTAACTGAATACAGAAATTGTTTACTAACCATTCTTTTCCCTCAGTACTTTGAAAATAGTATGCCATTATATCCTGGCATCTATTTTTACTGATAAGTCTGCTATCAGTTCAGCTGCTATTCTTTTGTAGGTAAGCTATGTCTTACCTACATAAATATATATGAAACCAACTGCCTTTTTCAAGAGTATAACGGTCAAATCACAGAACTCTCAACTTTTTCTTGGCTAATAAAAAGCAGATATTTTATATCAATGTTTTTAAATGACATGAGGGCCACCAATCCCCTTTGAGAGGATTTTTCCACTTGTAATAATGTGGCTAATTGCAATCATATAAGAAGACCTACTTCTCTACACTGATATTTTCTTGTCCATCAAATTGAAAGATCTTAAAAGCAACGCTTACTCACTCAACTTTATTCAGGAAACTTTGACACATTATAGCAAGTCTGTTAAAAAAGTATTTTCCGGGGCTTAAAGATCTCCTTCCTCTGGTTGCTTTCTGGGGACAGGGGGTTGGCTTTCACATTTTTATCGGGGGCTGTAGGGGAGGGGCCTTCCCCCGTCAATGGAGGTGCTCACAGTTTCTTCAGCTACTCCAAGCTTCGGCCCTGGGAGTCCCGGGGGTGGCTGGGCACGCAACATGTTCCCATCACCTTGAACGGGGACTGGGTAGCTGTAGGGTGTGGCCTGGTTGCTTGTGCTGGCGTGGTTGGTGTAGGGACTGAATGGGGGCAGCAACAGCTTCTTGGCCCAGGCATTCTTTTTTTTTTAATTGTTGTAGTTTAAATGAAGTTTACATTTCAAGTTAGTCTCCCATACAAAAATTTATACATACATTGTTATGTGACCCTAACCGCTCTCCCCATACCATGACAGCACATTCCTCCTTTCCAGCCGATTCCCCATGTCCATTCAACCAGCTCCTAATCCACTTTGCCTTCCCATCTCACCTCCGGACAGAAGCTGCCCATTTAGTCCCATGTATCTACTTGAGCTAAGAGGCACACTCCTCACGAGTATCACTTTATGTCCTACAGTCCAGTCCAATCCCTGTCTGAAGAGTTGGCCTCGGAAATTATTTTAGTTCTGGGCTGACAGAGAATTCAGGGGCTATGCTTTCCGGGGTTGCTCCAGTCTCAGTCAGACCATGAAATCTGGTCTTCTTACTAGAATTTGAATTCTGCATCCCACCGTTCTCCTGCTCCATCCAGGACTCGCTGTTGTGTTCCCTGTCAGGGCGGTCATTGGTGGTAGCTGGGCACCATCTAGTTCTTCTGGTCTCAGGCTGATGAAGTCTCTGGTTTATGTGGCCCTTTCTGTCTCTGGCCCAGGCATTCTTGAGGAAGGCAGCAAGTCCTCTACATCCTCCACCAACACAGACCCCACTATCTCCACAAGTGCTCCCTCCTCTGGTTGCTTTTGAGATCTGTTTGCCTTCAGTGTTTTGAATTTCATTAAGATGTGTTTAGGTGTGGGTTCATTTCAACTCAGGACACATTGCACTTCTTAATCTCAAGATTCATGTCTTCAATCAATTTTTGCAGAGTTATGAACTCTTCAAATATTACCTTCCTCCTCCTTTCTCTTTTTCATTCTGGAACTTCTACCAGTAGATGTTGGGCCTTCTAATTCTGTCCTCCATATCTCTAAAGTTCTCTTTAATATATTTCCATCTCTTAACCTGTCTGTGCTGTATTCTAGATGATTTCCTTAGATCTATCTTCTAGCTTACTAATTCTCTCTTCAGCTGCTCATTAACTTTCTATTTAGCTTTAACTAAACTGTTATTTATCTTATCCACTGAGCTTTTATTTCTGTGACTATAATTTTTACTTCTAGAAGTTCCATTTGGTTTTTTCTCAAATATATTTGAACTATTTTAATAGTCTTTCTCTCATTTTTATAACATATTTTATGCCCATAATCATGTTGTAGCCTCTGTGTAATACATCTATTATCTGATGTGTTTGCGGTATAATCCAAGTGTTTGTCATCTCTGCTTACTCCTTCATGATAAACTCTTTCCTAACAGGTTTGAGCCCCGGTTCCACACTAATAAGCACATTACCTTGGGTGAATTATTTAACTTAATAAATTCAGTTTCCTAGTCTATAAAATGGAATTAGGAATTAAGGCTAGTACCTGTCTCAGAGTATTGTTGTAAATCTTAAGTAGATAATATGTATAAAGTACTTAGTATAGAGATTTAGTTCAAAAAACATAACTTTTGTCACTAGGACTCAACTCTGGATTCTCTCTGGTACCTATCACAATGCCTAGCACTTAGTTGTTGTTCAGTAAATTTTGATAAATGAAAAGAAAAAATCTTAAAGTTAAATAATTTATAATAAATGTAACCATAAGAAAGTATCCAAATATCAGTGCTCCCTGGGTTATCAATACCTAACTTACAAATATCTCAAGCATTCATTCTATGTACAGACCAGCCACTATTCCAGGTAATGAGATAAATGAGATAAATGACAGTGGATGATGTAGACAAAGTTCCTGTTCTCTTGGGGTCTGCATTCCAGTGAGGAGGAACTGATAATAGATAGGTGATAGATAGAAAAATAGGTACATAATGTAAGGAAGGAAAGAAGGAAAAAACAGAAGGAAAGAAGGAAGGAAGACAGAGAGGAAGAAAGGGATGGAAGGAAGAAGGGAAAAGAAATAGACCATAATTTTAAGACCTAGTCAGAGAAATAAACTAAATTGATGCATTGGAGAGTGGTTGGGTTAATACTTTAGATCAAATGGTTAGGGAAGATCTGAAGGATAAGCGGGAGCTAGCCATTTCGAAGATGTAAATAAGCATATTCTAGACAAATGGGACAGTTAATGCAAAGGCCCTCAGGAAACAAGCTTTGCTCTTTCAAGAAGCAAAAAGAGCCTAGTGTGACTGGAATGCAGTAAGATTAGGGGGGAGACGGTCTGAGATAGAGCAGAGATTACATAAACCGAAAAACCAGACCCATTGCCGTGGAGTTGATTCTGACTCATAGCGACCCTATAGGACAGAGAAGAATTGCCCCATAGGGTTTCCAAGGAGCAGCTGGTGGATTTGAACTGCTGAACTTCTGGTTAGCAGCCAATCTCTTAACCACTGTACCACCAGGGTTCCAGAGATTACCTGTTGTTGTTGTTGTTAGGTGCCATCCAGTTGGTTCCGACTATAGCGACCCTGTGTACAACAGAAGGAAACACTGCCTGGTCCTGCCCCATCCTCACTACCGTTGTTATGCTTAAGCCCATTGTTGCGGCCACTGTGTCAATCCATCTCATTGAGGGTCTTCCTTTTTTTCACTGACCTCTACTTTACCAAGTATGATGTCCTTCTCCAAGAACTGATACCTCCTGACAACATGTCCAAAGCATGTGAGATGTAGTCTCGCCATCCTTGGTTCTAAGAGCCTTCTGGTTGTACTTCTTCCAAGACAGATTTGTTCATTCTTTTGACAGTCCATGGTATATTCAATAGTCTTCGCCAACATCACAATTCAAAGGCGTCAATTCTTCAGTCTTCCTTATTCATCGTCCAGCTTTCACGTGCATAGGAGGCAATTGAAAACACCATGGCTTGGGTCAGGCATACCTTAGTCTTTTAGGTGACGTCTTTGCACTTAAACACTTTAAAGAGGTCTTTTGCAACAGATTTGCCCAGTGCAATGCGTCTTTTGATTTCTTGACAGCTGCTTACATGGGTATTGATCGTGGATCCAAGTAAAATGAAATCCTTGACAACTTTAGTCTTTTCCCCCTTTATCATGATGTTGCTTATTGGTACAGTTGTGAGGATTTTTGTTTTCTTTATGTTGAGGTGTAATCCATACTGAAGTCTATGGTCTTTGATCTTCATTAGTAAGTGCTTCAAGTCCTCTTCATTTTCAGCAAGCAAGGTTGTGCCATCTGCATAACATGGGTTGTTAATGAGTCTTCTTCCAATCCTGATGTCCCGTTCTTCATATAGTGCAGCTTCTCAGATTATTTGCTCAGCATATAGATTGAATAGGTATGGTGAAAGGATAGAACCCTGACGCACACCTTTCCTGACTTTAAACCATGCAGTATCCCTTGTTCTGTTCAAACAAATGCCTCTTGATCTATGTACAGGTTCCTCTTGAGCACAGTTAAGTGTTCTGGAATTCCCATTCTTCATAACATTATTCACAATTTGTTATGATCCACACAGTCAAATGCCTTTGCATAGTCAATAAAACACAGGTAAATATCTTTCTGGTATTCTCTGTTTTCAGCCAGGATCCATTTGATATCAGCAATGTTATCCCTGATTCCATGTCCTCTTCTGAATCTGGCTTGAATTTCTGGCAGTTCCCTGGCGATATACTGCTGCAACCACTTTTAAATCTTCAGCAAAATTTTACTTGCATGTGATATTAATGATATTGTTCAATAATTTCCGCATTTGGTGAGATTACCTAGGGCTTCGTAAATCTGGGTAAGTTTATCCTACATGTGCTGGGAAGTCATTGAGTTTTTTAAGCAAGAAAATGTCATCATCTTAGTTCCATTTTTAAAATGTCAGTCTGGTTTAAGGAGCTGCAGCAAAAATGAAAGTTGAATGGTTACATACTTTCTACCTGATCCCCAGACTACCTGAAACTATTGTTGCTGCCATCACCTCACCGCTACATTTCCTACCACCAGTGTGTCCACACACAAAGTTCTGGTCTCAGGGAGCCACCTGGTGGCCAGCACGGGTAACTGTTTAATCCCATATCCTCTGAAAATATCCCACAGTCCCCTCAGAATATCCCCAAAAGTCTTCTTCTAACTTCTCAATCGCTAATCAAATTTTTTCAAGTCCCGCCCTTAAAAGTAATATACTTTTAAATTTTATTTAATTGGTTTTTTTTTGTTTGTACTAATATTAAAATAATAGGATATTTCATTATTTTTTATTATAAATAAAACAAAGAAAGTCTGGATTAGGATTTAATGGACTAGGTTATGGATCTTATTAATAAATCTTACTACTAATAATAATAGGTTGCATGGGGAAAAATTGATATCAAGTTATCCCTCCCGTTATATATCACTTACAAATTCTTCTCTAGCATAACTAAGGAGTAAATAAGATAATTTATCGTGTTTCTTTACTAAAGACATTGGAAGTCAACCGCCCATATATATTTTTAGTTCAGAATGTGGCCCTAGATGTGTAATCACAACATCTGGAACAGCTGGTGTGTGCTGAAAGAAATTCAGGATTTTTTTCCCCTTAAGAAACTAGCAATTTGAAAGATGCGGCTTTGTTTCAAATGGGAAAGCTATTTTTAACCGGCAGTCGGCGATTGTTAAAAGCTAACTGTGTCTGCTTTAGATATATATGAAACTAACTGCCTTTTTCAAGCGTATAATGGTCAAATCACAGAACTCCCAACTTTTTCCTGGCTAATACAAAGCAGATATTTTTATATCAATTTTTAAAAATGACATGAGGGCCACCAATCCCCTTCGAGAGGATTTTCTACTTGCAATAATGTGACTAATTGCAATCATATAAGAAGACCTTCTCTACACTTATATTTTCTTGTCCATCAAACTGAAAGACCTTAAAAGCAATGCTTACTCACTCAACTTTATTCAGGAAACTTTCACACATTATAGCAAGTCTGTTAAAAATTTATTTCCCTGGGCTTAGAGATTTCCTGCTGTTTTGCTAGACAGGGCTGGAGCAGTGAATTTTTACCCCAGATATAATTAGATTGACTTTCGCTTTGGGGATACTTTTGGGTCCTTCCACATCAAAGTAAGATATGGGTAAGAAGTGGCGAAATTCCTCTTTCTGGAAAAATTAATGAAAGCGTGATTTTCAGTAGCTGTTAGGGGACTATTATGAGACAGGCCTGTTGAAAACCACCGTGCCTTGGTGATGATCTTTTTTCCAGCCCAGCCTTACTGCTGTATTATCCCGAAGTACCTCCTCCCATGGGTATACTCTACATGAAATGAGTTAGGGGTCTCTGCCCTCTTCTTAGTGGAGACTTGTCACAGGATCTTTCACCACCATCGGCAGCAATTAGCACTAATTGGTACCCTGGGCGGCAGTCGAACAGAAAGGTCAGTGATGGAGCGAACAGGAAGAATGAATTACCCTTTCGCCTCTGGAAGTGAACTTATTGGCTCTGTCTGGAGCTGTTCTGTTGCCGCTACCTCTGCTGGGCCTAGGAGGTGGATTAAAGCGGAATTTATTCTCCGAGGCTGTCAGATGAGAGTATTGAGGAAGGTCAGTTCACTGAGTGGGCAAAGCAAAGCAGCTGAGTTATAACAACTCAACAGCCATAAATAGGTCTCCCAGTCTTCTCCCCATATGACCTCACCCCTTCCTATCTCTCCCTCTCCCCTTGAGCTTCTCCCTATAATATTATAAATCCAATCAAAGCAAGTGCTCTGTCAGCATATTTCTCTCCCTTGCCACGGAGTCCACGCTGTTTATGCTCATTACTGTGTAACCTAGGTCACCCAGTGGCTGGGAGGAGATGAGGTCATTTGTCTTAGCTTCTCTTCTCTGTAAATTCTTCCTACCTACTTCACAAGAGATGAGGGAGATAACATGAAAATAAGTAAAATATTACTTGTGCAAAGCTTTTATTTTTGTAGAATAATGTTTCTACTAAGTAACATTGTGTTTGTAACTCTAATACCCTTACCACAGCTACTTGAAGTCAGGGGTTTGAAAAATGCATGAGAGAGTTATCAGAGAACAATTAATAATCCTTTCCTCTGCTACAAATAGCCACCAGATGACTTGGCATCACTCTCAAGACAACAGACGGCAAAGGAATGCTGGCATTCTGCCACTTTCTCAAAGTTACTCCACCCTTTCATTTAACTCAGATGCCAGCACTTTTCCAAAGGCAATCTGAGCAGAATAGGAGAGGGAGTGGGCATTTAATTAACAAAATTACAACAAATAAACTATAGTATCAGTATATAAATCAGTGCCCTTCTGTCTTCCCAAGTAAAGAACAATAAGGTTAAAACTAAACAAAAACCATTCACCTTCCACTTTTGCATCACTTAGAAAATGCTGTATATCAATGTTTTTAAGCATTCGTTTGGGGGATGAGAACCTGGAAATGGTTGACCTAGAAATAATTCAACCTTGCAGAGATGTCCGAGCCCAGGCATTAGCCAAAGCGAAGAGGGGCCTTTCAGGACCATCTATAACTAAATCAATATGTCAACTGGTCCTGCCCTCAACGCACTCAAGTTTTTGTTGGAATTGAAAGATTAGCCCAGAAACAAACTTCCAGAAATAAACACTTACCACAAATAGAATAAGAAGGCAAACCAGTTCTTAGTTCTCCTTTCCCTTCCTAGAAAGAATCCAAGAAGAATTTTATGACGTATCTGGCCTGGGCATCTTTTTACTCTCAATAATTAGCAAAACTCCAGACAATTTAAAATGCTCAACAACTGTCTGTTAGATCCAAGATGTTATATGAAAGAATGGATAATGAAGGAATGGCCACTTAAGGCCATTAAAGGGGTAGGCTTTACCGCAACCAATTGATCTCATTCCATTCTGCCTATCTGACATTTTTGCTAAAGTCCAGAATTAAAATGCTGGCAGCAAAATGAAAAATGCATAAAATTAGCTCAAGATAAACATTTGTTGACACTTATGATGTCCCAACCCCTGGGCTAGACACTTGAGCACGAAGATAAAAAAGCATAGGCTCTGCTTCAATAAAAGAGCCCTGGTGGCGCAAGGGTTAAACGCTTGCTTGGCTGCTGACTGAAAGGTTGGTGGTTTGAACACACCTAGACACTCCGAGGGAGAAAGACCTGGTGATCTGCTCCCATAAAGATTACAGCCTGGAAAACCTTATGGGGCAGTTCTACTCTGTCACATGGAGTCGCTATGAGTTGAAATCGACTCAACAGCACCCAACAACAACAACTGTTTCTGTAAGAGTTCAGTTTACCTGAAAGGGCAGAGAAGAGTACAAATCATGGCAAAGCAAGGTGATAATAAGTATCCTAGACCATATCACCTGGTGGCCTCTCAGAAGAAAGGCCTGGCAAACTGCTTCAGTAAAGATTACAGTCAAGAAAAACCCTATAGAGCAGTTCTACTCTGTAACATATGGGGTCCTATGAGTCAGAATCAACTGGACAGCAACAGGTATGGTTTTGGTTTTGATGCTGTTGTTTTTGTTTTTGGTTAGACTACGTCATGGGAGTACAGTGGACGGGGCACCAGCTCTGGGGAGTTTATAGAGAAGGGACATTTGAGCTGGGTCTTTGTAGAGTGAGCGGGAACTAAGATGGGAAAGAGAATGGCATTCTAGCCTGAGGAGCAGACAGAAGAGCAAGGAATGGAGCTATGAGAGAGTTTGGTGAGCTTGGAGAATAGTAAGCAGTTGGCTATCAGACTTATAAGGGAAATGAATGGAATCAGGAAGAAATGAGGCAGAAAGGAAAGAAGGAGAGGGAAAGAAAAGTGATGGGGACTAAGAGAGCTTGGATAAGATAGTTTGATGAGGGTCTTGTATTCTGCCTAGAATACAAGTCTGGACCTTAACCTAAAGGCAACAGTGTACCACTAAAGGATTTTAAGTAGGAAGAGTGACTTGATCAGATCAGCTGGGAGGACAATTCAGTTAATCTAAGAGATGATTTAAGGAGCCCTGGTCATGCAGTGGTTAATCTTGGCTGCTAACTGGAAGATTGGTGGTTTGAACCTACCAGCCGCTCTGCAGGAGAAAGATGTGGCAGTCAGCTCCCCTAAAGATTTGTCGTTGTTAGGTGCTGTCAAGTCGGTTCCAACTCGTAGTGACCCTATGTACAGCAGGATGAAACACTGCCCGGTCCTGCACCATCCTCACAATCATTGCTATGTTTGAGCCCATTGTTGCAGCCACTTGGAAACCCTATGGGGGCAATTCTACTTTGTCCTATAGGGTCTCTATGAGTCGGAATCGACTAGTCCAGAAGACTTGACTAAATATCCCTTTGTTCCTCATTCACCCCCCGCTTGTCCTTCTGGAAGATTTGAATGTGGTTAATGGGCAAACCCTTCCAGATAGATATTATAAGATTTTGTTTTAAAAAGAATACAGTGTGGAAAATGGGCTGGAGGAGAAGGAAAACAGAATGAGGGAGACTGTGTGGGGACTATGGCAAGGGCAATATTTAGAAGGTAAAACTGAGAAGACTTGGTTAAATAAAGCAGGAGAGAGAGAGGACAGACTTATGCTAACTCCGAGGTTTCTAGCCTAGGCAACTGGACAGTTGATGAGATGGTTATCAAAAGAAGATTGGAGCCTCTATTTTTAACTCCAAATAAGAGGCACTTGGTCCTCAAAATAATCCTGTAATTTTCATCACTCTGTTGATATGCTTAAGGGCATAAACAAATGGCATGTTTCCTATCTGTGTCAGAAAATAGCAAAAAAAACCTTTAATCCAGAGAAGTCTCACAGAGATCAACAAGAGTGTTATCTTAAGATATTATAATTTAGCAAAGGTATAGTTTCTACCTTCTGTGTCAAACCCTGGTAGTGTAGTGGTTAAGAATTCGACTATTAACCAAAAGGTCAGCAGTTCAAATCCACCAGGTGCTCTTTGGAAACCCTATGGAGCCGTTCTACTCTGTCCTATAGAGTCGCTATGAGTCGGAATCCACTTGATGGCAATGAGTTGTTGTTGTTTTTTTTTTAAGGTGTATGAGAAAACAAATGCTACATCGGAGTTAAGGATGAAAATGTACTTCAGTTGTTAAAGCCTGGTTCACTCAGTCCTAACTTCCTGACTTCAAATACAATCTCGATTTTATCTCACCTAGGAAGAAGACTGTGCCCTGGTTTTCTTATTACAGATTGAGCTCGAAAACCTGTGCAACCATTCAAAATCCAGAAACAGTGAAGGGCGATAGAAAGGTGAGTCACATTTCACAGGAACATGTGACAGGCAATGGCAGCGGCTTGTATGGGCCAGCGGCCCCTCCCTCCATCGGCCTTGGAGACTTTCACCGTCTCTGCCTCAGGCCTTCGGGGATCCAGACCTGTACGTTATTCATTTTGCCTTTGGCACCCAGGGCACACACTTTCAAATGCGTGGACAGATGGATGGACATAGTTATGCTAACGGTCACTTCCCTGTTGAAAAATGTACCTAAAAATCACATTTTTCCCAAGCTTTGCCTCAGGCATTTTAAATACTCAAAACCAGGTAAATTTTTCAATTCTGCACTGAAGTTAACAAGTACTCTGCTATGCAAGAGTTTTCCCAACTCCAAAAGGAAAAAGTATTTTTTAAAAGTCATATGCAACTTAAATATGGTTTTGCACTATAAGCTACTTCATTTGGTTTTTGATGTATATCAAAACTAGACGGTAAAGTTATTACTACATCCTGGCTGGTTCTAGCAAAGATCTTATTTTATGTTTTAGCCTTTCTTTTGTCTCACAAATCCCAGGAAATTAAGGATAAAATGCATATTAACAATGTTTATGTTACAAATATAAGCACAGAGAAGTCAGGAAACATTTTAATATGGTTATCATAGTCTTTTTAATTCATTCATGCTGTTCTCCTGAAAAAATCACATGTTGTTGGCCTGTTTTCTAAATACATAGTTTACTGAGGAATTGATACGTGTGGGTAAACTCTTCTTGCAAAGAAATCTTCACTTTTGCTTTTATAACTTAAATTTGTAACCCTAATAAACTGAATAAATTGTTTCACGTTTAACGTACAGGGAAGAGCTTAATTTTTCTTATTGTATTTCATGGTAACACATATCAGGACACCTCATCAGATAGACTAATCGTAATCTGCTCAGTTTCCATAAAGCTATGTTCTTTTTCTTCTTTTTCCTCTTCGATTTACTATCTGAAACATACCAGAGATGACGTGAAGCATGAGCGAATTTAACTTCATATGAATTACCCCTGGCATTTGTATTTTCCTTTTACATTCAAGAAGGGCTTTTCCCCCGCAGGGAACTCTCTAATAGAGACCGTGAAGAAGACAGAAAGGAGATGAACAAAACTGCACATGTGCGGAGTGCCTCTCATTGGAAGACGACGCCATCTTCCGACTCAGTTCTGCTGGACTGGATTTGTTAATGACAAACAATTTCCTCTTCCTAAACCCTGCACAAAACATTTTAAGATCCAGCTCCCAATGCAACAGATTTCTTGACATCTAATAACAGCTGCCTGGGTGTGTTGCTGATATTGTATTAACATTCCAAATCAGCTTATTAGTGTCTTTTATGTATTTCTTCAGTGAATAAAACAAGAATTCCAACAGAACTCTCTTTCCAAGTTAGTAACAAAGCTGGAAACCATCAAAATGATAAGGCACGAAAACCTAGAGAATTTATCTTTAAAGTGCTACCAAAGAAAAGGAAAACAAAACAACAAATCTGTATATATATATGGAGGTTATTCAATGTAGCAACAACCTCTCCTGATTAAAAAAAAAAAAAAAAAAAACCATGAGGGTATATGTTGACAAAGGCAAAGGATAGAAGTTATGACTATTAAAGATTTTTTCACCTGAGTGGCCGTTGTCATATGATAAGCTTTATCACTGTGAGAAAATTAAGGTTTAACATCTGTATGCCTATTGCCAAAAAAGACTTCAAATAGTTAAAACAGTGTCATAAGATGATCGAGAGAACTGATTTCTCTAAAAAGAATGAAAGTTAAAAAATAAAAAAATCCTTTCCCCAGCAACATCATGAAACACCTATGCCTGTTTGCAGACCACAATGTCAATAGAAAGATGGCTACAATAGGTGTCTGTGGGGAGCCGGACAGTGAGCATAGACACCTGGGAACATTGGTGAGGACCCCCTATGGCTTGCTATGACAGTCAGTCAACTCTGCAGTCCGTAGGAGGAATCAGGGCCCTAGAGATGGTGAAAGGCCAGCATCTGCTTATTAGTAAAGAACTAAGAACTCTCTCCCATTATTTTAGCACCAAGCAAGCCTCTCGAGTTCTTGAACAACCCAGTGCCCTAGTAAGACTAATATAATATTCCCGTGCTAACTCTGCAGAGTGGAGCATACCAAAATAAAACAAAAAAAAAGTAAGAAGTGTAATATTTTATACCAGTGTTGTGGTTCATATCTATTTCAATAGTAAAATATAACCAGACCTAGGAAATTCAACTCAAATAAAAAAAATGGACATAAATATATGCCAACTCTAATGGCTGTCTTTGGCTCTGTGCTATTTTGAAATTCTCAGTCTATATTGAATGATAACATTTCTTTTAAAAAATAAAGTTGCAAAGCAGGTATATTGCTCTGATTTAACTTGAGCTTTCTGAAGAAAATATACGTGGTTTTAAGAAAAT